ATGAGTACTCACACTCTGTCCCATGGATTCTAAAAGTAGTACACATAAATACTTGTTTAGGAAACCTGTATAAAGTTTCCTCATAATTAGTCAAAATAAAATTGTATGAAACAAGTTTTGCGTACTTCGTAGAGAAATGCGTAAAACTTTGTTTAATGAAAATAGGTTTGTTGTACCCCAGGTGGATCAGAAAGCAAAAATCAGTTAGGAAAAGCGGCTATATTTTAGGAGCATTAATATTTATGATTATTCTTATCTGTTTTATTTACGTCTTAGAAAGCTATTTATGTCTCAGAAATTAATGACCTCAGATTTCCAGTCTTTACATTGCTTATAAATTAAGCAGTATCAATTTTTTATCTTAATCATTAATTTATTAATGACAAAAATATAAATATAAATGTAATATATGAGAACATATATTAATGGAAGCTATTTATGTCTTAGAAAAGTTACGCAGTGATGCTGAAATGAAAGAGAATAATGTACAAAAGGATTTTATGAGTGAAAATCGCATCATTACTATTAAAACGTGTTAATTAAATTTTTTAATGTGCAACAATTATTGAAATATTGCAATAACGGGGCAGCATTCTTTTCTGAAATATTCCATTCATTTGCGTAGTGAAAATAGCAATGTAATTCACGTTCTTTCAGATGTTGAAATGCAACTTAAAACTATTACGGCAACGCTGCCTTTGATATGTTTAATATTTTCAGTAATTAATTTATCGAAATTTACGAAGTAGTATATACTTTTGGTTGCGCGATGCCATTTTTATTATCATTATTATACTATTATTGATGATTTCACGTACTGAATGCTGTGGAAAGTAAATTAACAGCAAAAGTAAAGTAAATTGTAAAATTTCATTTCAAATAATGATTAGAAAGTACTCTATGAACGCGTTCTTCTCCTTAAACAAATAGTCCTTGAGTGCTTTATTATTATAATTCAATTCAATGCCGTTTAAATAACGTACAAATTATTGCGCATTACTCAATTATACGCTTAAATGTTTCATGTTGTTAAAATAAATTGTAATTTATAATATTTTTTTCAAATGAAGATTTTGATATGAAGAGAGATTAATATATTACTTTCAAAACAAATTTAATGTCTTCAGAATTATCTTTTACAGATAAGTGTGAATTTTTGGTAGATGGGTAATTTACAGCTTAAGAAACACTACAGCTTTTCTCTTTTCTAAAGCAAATCAAGTAAATCCTCAAACAAGTTCTGTGCTTTCAGATTTAATTCTCGATTAAGGATTTTAAAGAATTCCTAACCTGCATTTTATCTGCAATGTGAGAATATTTTGAAAATTTTGATATGAAAAATTGGATAAATATTGATTTACTCATTATTTCAAGTAAAAATATTCATTCATTCCATTTCCTACACCCATGAGTGTAAAAGTAATGAATTTCGATGAATTTAACGAAAAAAATTTCATTAAATTTACATCGGAAATTAACTGAAATATTTTGCCGGTTAATGTTTAAGCATCTGTGTATTCGTAGCCTGTCGTAAAACTCCCTGCCCTCTTTTTTTTTTTCGGACTTTGAATTCATTCAAAGATCCCTAAGCCGAACGGAAAATCTCTCCTTTCTAAATGTGGTGCCATAAATTCTTTGCGTTTTCTGTACTAGAATGGCATTTCTACATGGGGGTGAGGCAAAGTCCTTTCAAGTCACAACTACTCAATTTACGTCAATGATTTTGTGTCCTTAAGAAAGAAAAGCATGTTTTCTGGAGTTAGCAATTAATACTTAGGAATGATTCGCCCCTCCAGCTTATTAGTATAAAAAACAGAGAAAAAAATCAATCTGCCTTTAACTTTGCCATTTTGTAATGTCAATCGTGCTTCTAAATCCAAAATGTTTCTGTCCCTTACCTTGCCTCTTGGTGCGACTGCACAGGTTGCAAGTACCATCGTTTTTTACATTGTGAGAACTATACATTCAAACATGCAGATTCTTCCTTATTTAATTTCTTTAAAAATAATACAGAGTGAAATAATTTGATGGCAACAATTTGAAAAGTGATACACCGTTTACTACTTACGCCATTACTTTAGCGAACCAACGAAATACATGTTATATTAAATTCTAAGAATCATTCACATTAATAAATTCAATTTCAAACTGAATATTAGGACTGATTTTTGGACTTGGCGTTTAATGGAAAAGCTAGTAAGAGATTCAATATATGAACAAAATTAAACGCTACGGAATGACATACTATGAAAATTACAAACTACAAATAATATACCATGATTTCTCTTAACTTGCAAAGTTCATTCCAAAGTACCAGAATCCTGCCTAGTTACTTCTTTGATTTATACTTAGAATATACGTCTACTGATTATTCGATCATAATGCGAATTATACAGAAACAAATTAATATATAAAATAAGTACTTTATAATACATAGTTACAATTCATTTCCACTTCCACCGTTTTTTGATTTGGGATTGCAAAAGGAAAAACCTTTCCTTTAGGGGGGGGTTTGCCTTTAATAATTTTCAGGCTTGAGACTAAGGAATACTAAGGAACTTTTCCTATTTTCCGCTCACTGCTATTCCTAAACTGGGGTAGGTCATGAAGTTATTATTTCATAATCTAATGCTGGAATTTTAACTTTTGCAAACGCTTGAATTTAGCTGTTTCAGGTGCTTCCAAGGGCCTCCTATCTGCGTCATACAGAGAATTGCATCACTGCAACATACAGGTAGGGGGCCCTTAAATCTTAAAAGAAAACGAATTCTATTATCTACATATACTTAAAGATTCTAAAGTTAAAAGTAAATTGGAGTCAAATCAAGGTTATTCCTCAACTATATTAATATTAACAATCGTGTAAAAGGGGTTTAACACAAAATCAAACATATCAAAATGAAAATAAGAATGGTAGTACAAATTCTAAAAATAAAAATGAAAAGCAAAAGGGAAAAAAATACAAGATAAAAAATATAAAATAATAGTTAATCTTTTATAGAAATTCTAATTTCGAACTCATCAAATGAAAATGAATTAAAGCTTCTGTATATATGTAATGGAATCCGTCTTAAAGTTTAAACGCGTAAATGTAGTTCAGCAGGACATTAAAAGGGCCCCCTAAGCCTTCGGGCCCCTATGCGACGGCACTCAGAGGCTTAAGCTTTTTGATTTGCTCTTTGCAATTAATATTATAATGAATTATTAATTTCTTCCTATTTTTCAAAGTGATCACTTAGTGAGATAAACTTCTGGCTATCCAAAAATGTTACACATTAAAGAAGTATCCAAACAGCATGAAACGTGCATCACGTGTACACTGCAGGATATGCAATATGCAAATGATTATGATTTCAGTGCACATGCACATCATGGGTGACTGCAGTCTCCTTACAATCTGTATGTAAAGAAAAGAAAGCTTACCATTTTAAATAATGTGAATTTTCTTTCATGAGAATTTTATGTGTACAGCTTCAGTACACCTTGTAGAAAAACATGAGCATCATTGCATGCAGAGATTGTGGATTATTCTTCCAGGAAACTGGTCATCATGTCAGACATAGCCAAGCAACAATCATGCAAATATGGAATCGGTCAATACAGGAGGGAACAAATTATGGACAAGAGCAATTGCAACAGCCTTGTTGCACTACACAGGAAGGCAGGCACATTCTGTGCATGGTATTCATGGAGTGCACTGCCACATCTGCAACCATCTGAACAAATGTAGTCTATAACACAACAATCAATGTCTTCATGAACGGTTCAAAATCATTTACAGTACAACTGATTATCCATTGGGCACTCATTGCTTCACTTATCTTTGACTTTAAAATGCAAGCACTTGCATTTGTAGTAGTTCATTGGAGATTGGAGATGGTCATCCGAATGGTATGATGTAATTTTGCATGAATCGCGCTTCTACCTGAAGTACCACTACAGCCAGGTTAGAGTTTTGAAGACACTGTGGAAAGAGGCTGCTTGACTATTATGATATGCATTATCATACTTGTCCAGCACCCACTGTTAAAGTGTGGAGTGATATTGAATCCCACTCCCACACCTCCGTAGTATGCATTATCAGTACACTTATCAGCCTATGCTATATCTCTGAGGTTTTACAGTCTATTCACCTTTCTTACCTTCAGGGCTAGCTTGTGGCCACATTTGGACAGGGCAGTGGACAACCATAAATTGCATGCAATGTTCAAGCTTTTTCTTAGCCCACCATATTGCATTATTACCCTGGCCTGCCCGTTCTCTGGGTCGAACATGTCTGGTCAATGATTGGACAAGTCCTAGATTGGCATGTCGCACCCAGGCATACATCAGATGAACTTTGGCTACATATGGAAATGGCATGGGCTGCCATTGACCGAAAACCCATCCAAAGCCTCTTTTACTCTGTGCCATTGCTTGTAGCAGTGGTTATTGACAAATGAGTAGGCAACACTCATTACTGATTTTTCTCATCTTCCTCACCTCAAAGAAGGCTGTATTTCAAATCAATTAACATTAATACTGTGTGTAATCTCTGAAATAAATTTGATATCTCTTGTCGCTCTTCATGTTGCACTTTGGATAGCCACACTGAACCCACAATAGTATGTAGGCTATCATTTCTTACTAAATCCTTCTATCAAAACTGAAAACGATATTTACTTAAATTTAATACAGAAAAAGACTGTGAGTTGTCTGTTTTGCTGCATACAGTGGCTTTTAATTCATTCTCTAATGAATGCACTTTATAAGCTTTCATTTCTTAAGTTTTGGAACCTAAAGAAACCTAACTAAAGTTTATTGCTGTGTTAGATCAGTATTGCTGTTTAAAAGTATATAATTAGTCTATTTTTTCTTATTTTTATGTGTGTTTATTAATATTATGGTATGCAATTATAATTATTTAAGCATTTATTATAATATTCTGCTTCTGATTTCATTTTTAGTGGTAACTTGACTAAAAATTTGAAGTCTGTCTTATGCAATATTTAATAATGTAGATACGATCCCAGAACTGATACATGGACTTTGGTGGCTCCCATGAGTATTGGAAGAGATGCCATAGGTGTTGGTATACTTGGCAATCGCCTAATTGCTGTTGGTGGATATGATGGTCAATCTTATTTAAAAATTGTTGAAGCTTATGATCCCCAAACCAATGAATGGGAAGAGGTAATAGGATTTACTCTTGGTGGAATAAAAATTAGTTGCTTCATGAAAAATGCTTTTTAAATAAAATAAAATATTTTATTATATATGGGCTTTAATTTTCCATTTCATATTTTTCAGATTCAAGAACTTGATGAGGGTCGAGCTGGCATTTGTGTGGTGGTTATGAAAGGATTTTAAAGTAATTTTTCCCATAGTATATTATTTTTTAAATTCTGTAAAAGTGGTTGTAAGTGAAACTGATTTTGTCTATAACATTGAAGAATTTATCTTACTGGATGATGAAAAATTTCTTTCATTAAAAACATTCCTTGTAATTAATTGATTATTAGAAATATATTATATAAAATTAAATTACAAAGAAAATGTCATAACTTTTTGACTGGCAAAAAATTCTGTTGCACTTTAGAAATCACTTATGTACACTGCTCAAAAAAAAAATGGGACAGTGCTATATCTCCCATTCTACTGGGCCGATTGACAAAATTCAAATTGCGTTCTTCATGTCTCGAAAGCGCGACTTAGGATATATATTAGATTTATATATAGCACTATTCTAACATAGGTATTTTGACACAAAATCGGACTTTTCCTGAAATAACATACCAATTTTTTTACATATTTCGATTCTATGACTCAAATTACGCCTAAATATGAAATTTTGTAAAATTTGGAGCGAAATTTACGGAGAAATTCACAAATTTATGTTGGCACTTTTTTGTCAGTTTGCGCCAAGAATAGTTCACTTGGCGAACTTCTTAATATATGGCAACCTAGTTTCCTTTCCCGTTAGCGGAAAAAAAGTCACCATCGTTCCTTTTTTCCAAATAATATTCTTTATATTATATTTTTAATTATAACTTATTATTTTAAGTAATTTTTTCTTTTTCGAATTTCATTTTAATTGTTTAAGTTGCATGGTTCTTTTTCGAATAACTGTTTTAAAAATTTCTACTTACCTATTCGAACTGCGTAAATAAAGGTGCAGCATTTATTTTTTTCAAATAGTTTTCTTTATATATATTTTTTGTCATAGTTATTATTTTAGGTAATTTTTAAATTCTTAACTTTTATTTTAATTGTTTGTGTTGCATTGTCTCTTCAGATAATTGTTTTAAAATTTTCTATTTATTCCTTCGAATTCAGCATTTTAAATATATTTATTAATATAAATTTTCCAGAATTTGATTTTATTTATTTGAATTGCATTTCTTTTGGAGGATTACTTTGTAACCCAGACTACGATGCGTTTGAAAACTGCATATATTAAAAGAGAAAATACAGTAAAGCACAGTTAACACGCCTTTCAATGTTCCGTTCAGAAAAGATATATATAAATAAGAGAGACATTTAACTTAGGATTGCGACATTTTAACTTAGGATGACTTGCATACACTGCTTTAAACAGTTTTATCATTGTGCCCATTGCTTTACACAGTTTTATCCTACATTTGGCTTCTTAAATGTTATTCATATTTTAGTAAAATATTTTATTTTTGAAATCGTAAAAATCAAATATCATAAGATTAAAAAGTTTTAAATTTAAAAAAATACAAATACTAAATTTTACCGTAAAATGTACTTTTTCTTCTCTTTTTCTTCAGGCATTCTACTTTATTCTTGCTCTTTTTCTTTAGGCATTCCGGAAGTATATTAAAAAGCATCCAAATTTTCGAAATATCTTGATATTTCTGACAATCATTTTAAATAAAGTTATCGCCTTCCATTTCATAAAGGCCCACAAACGGCCGAGCGGTAAAGTCGCTGAACAACTGGTAGTTCGCTCAGGGGTTCGAATCCCGGCGTTGCACAGGGTTGGTTGCATGGGCGTTTTCGTGGATTTTTCTCATGTGTAACGTGTATGTTGCCAGCTGGTTTCCCTTAGAAAAGTTCTTCACAAAGGCATCCTTCCTTTTAGGCAGATAGCCCTGCTTTGACGTTAACTTAATAATCAAGTTCAATCCATTTCATCAGTATTTGGTCAGAGCCTTTATTAGTCTTTAGAGGCTAAACATTTTGAAGGTATGAGATGAAAGGAAAGACTGGTTTCATCAAGAGGTTTTGGTTTATTTAATTATGACAAAGCACACTAGGGCTATCTGCCTAAGGGGAGAGATGCCTTCGTGGAGGACTTTCTAAGGGGAACTGGCTGGCATACATGTTACACATGGGGAAAACCACGAAAATGCCCTAGCAGCCAGCCCGTTCGCGGGATTCGGACCTCGGACAGAACTACCAGTGTTCAGTGACTTTATCGCTCGGCCGCTGTTTCATCAGGAGGAAAAAAAAACATCTTTAGGTGACATCCACATACATCACTGGATAAACTCCTGAATCATCAAATAATTCGAATGAGAAAATCATGGGATTCTCCATTTATGATACGATATGATGTTCTATAACGTAATTTAAATTTATACAACCATATAGTCTAAACCATATTGTCTTTTCTGTTAACCACAAGCCCAATTGATGGTATTTGGTGTACACGTCCAAGTGTTTTTTCTTCGAACACCTAAATTCATTGAAGTATCCTGAAAGTATCTTCAAAAGCGTCCAACTTTTTGAAACACCTTGGTATGTCTGACAGCCAAATTTCCCTGCAAATTTTTGCTTACTTTTCTCCCTAATTTTCTTCTTTCCTTCTACAGTTATTTTCAGTGCAAACACAAGAAAATTAAGATTTTTCGATTGCTAGACTTCCATAAATTTTGCTTTCTTGTCAATTTTTTAAAATATCAATTGCATGAATTGCGTTTCAGCTGAAGACAGCTTTTCATTTTCTAGGTCATTTTAACTGTAAATAAAAAAAAAGCGAAGTCCAAAAATAAATTATTTTAATTAAAAGATTTTTTGCTAAATGACAAGAAATAAAACAGTCCAGCAGGGTTTAATTCTGTACTACTGAGTGACCCGATTCTTATATCGGCTGAAACAATCTAAATCATTATTAAAGATCATGTTTTCTATACAATCTATAACGCGAGAGAAAAAAAATTAGCTTTCTTAAAACATTCTTTTCTAAGAGGACTACTATAAAAGATTATATTTATATATATATATTTTTAAAGCCTGGGAACTTGAACCAAACTGTCAAATTTTTAAAGTTTAATTTACATGGTGGTTTTAATTAAAGTTCAAATCTGAAATGGTCATAAAAGGAAAACTACCGTATCAAATGTTATCAAACTTGGGAATCGTGTAAAGGAGGTTATGGGAATTTATTTTCAGCGAGAAAAAAAATAGTTAAAAAAACTCATCACCAGGGGGAAAATGACGCTGTATACAAGATTCTTAAATGAAATAAGACACGAAAACATCTGCTTCAAATGTGTTTAATATTTTCCGAAACGTGTTACAAAGCATGTTCAATGTAGCGTCTAGCATTTTCCGAAACCAAGTTAAATCCTGTTACTGCATTCTCAACAGCAGCTCTTAGCATATCGGGAGGAATGTTACGGACAGTCAGTGTTTAACATTTTTTCATTTCTGCCAAATGTTTAGATTATCACCATAAACAGTGCTTTTGAGATAACCCCATAGCCAAAAGTCACAGAGGTTGAGGTCTGGTGGGAAGAAGGGGAAAATGTCGGCGTATAAGACGTTCATTCGTGAAATGTTGCCTAAGTAACTGTGCGACACACGTGAGGTGGGGCCCAGCCGTGCATAAAAATCGTAGTATCTAAAATGCCACTTTACTTGCAGTTCGTGTATCACGAAACATTTAACATTGACTCTAAGCGAGCTGCAATCACAGTAGGGTCCAGGCTGTCGACTGTGCTCTTCAGAGAAAAATGATTCAGTTATAAAACTAGCTGTCATTCCACCACCAAACGGTGTGGAATGACTGCTATGCAATCGAATGCAAGTAGAAGAATGCAATGGAACTAGATAGATAACATGAGGAATTTTTTTACCTCAAATCGATTAAAAGCGTTTTGAAGCAGTATCTTCATGTTTAGGGCCGAATTCAGGCTTCAAAAATTACAAATTAGCGATCGGTAAGAAAACGATTTCCAGATTGTACGCACTTGTGCGAGTGATTTTGCGATCTCACATTTTCTAATCGCTAATTTGTGGTTTTCACGGACGAATTTCTCACTTACACGGATGGCGCACTCGACGTTTATCGAATTTAACGCCTTTAAATGGTAATTTTCTTACTTCAAAATTTCTTAAGGGTATGCAACATATTAAACCCGTGTAACAAAAGGTTAAGTTAGATTCCGACCCATATTTCGTTTAAAAATATTGCATACAGCGCCATTTTCCCCCCTGGTGGTGAGGTTTGGAACTTCCCTTTTTTCGCGGAAAATAAATTCCTATGATCTCCTTTACACGATTACCAGGTTTGATAACATTTGATCCAGTAGTTTTTGTTTTATGACCGTTTCAATGTGGAACTTTAATTATAAACACCCTGTATATTATTAAATTTTAATTGAAGCTATGCGTTATATGCGTACCATGCGTAAGATTTCCGCTTTTATAGAAAAAATAAAGAATCGAAGCAAATATACTTAGGATAATGGAACAAAACTGAAAAAAATTCCCCTACCTCCGAAAATAAAATATTGAAACTTCGACCTTGAATTTATTGGATTATTGAAATATTCAGTATGACATATCTTCTAAGTCCTAGTTCCGACAACAATTTCGTCAAAAATTCCGAGTTACTTAAGCTGATGTAAAAGATTTAGTATATATTCACCGTATGTTAGTAAAGTAATCAGAGTGTAATAAAAATAGATTATAGAATTTACGCTGATGCAACCTTTTGTCTGACTGCACACATGTAATGGAAGAGAAGGCTTATAGAGATCTGTTTTTGACATGCCTCTAAAAGTAGATGTCATACTCCTTTTGTCTCTTCAATATCAAAAAACTTTCCTTTGAGAGGCAACTTTAGTTTTTGGGAAAGAAAAAAATCACAAGAAGACAAATTTGAAAAACATGCAGGACGATTGAGTACACATACTTATTTTCGGAACACAAGCGGTTCTCCGACTGGTTATTGAATAATGAAAAGATGCATTATCATGCAATACAAAACATTTGGAATACGTTGTCTGACTGAAAACGTAAGATTAAAAGTCATCTGCTTAATTCACAACCATTTACAAGTCAACTACTGGGGCAATTGCAGAATCGTTTTGATCCTGAGCTTCTAAGACAAACCTT